AATGTTACTATGTAACAGATACATCCTCCCATATAAAAGCGAAAATACCTACGCTGTAATAGCCTACAAAATTTTACTAATAATCCCAAACGTTTTTTTTTTATAGGAGAGGGGGCAAACGAGCATGCGGCTCTCCTGATGGTAAGTGACTACCGCCGCCCATGAACAACTGCAACACCAGGGGAATCGCAGATGCGTTGCCGGCCTTTTAAGAAGGAGTACGCTCTTTTCTTGAAGGTCCCTAAGTCGTATCGGTCCGGAAAAATCGCTGATGGTAATCGATTCCACAAGGAGGTCGTGCGAGGAAGAAAACATCTTCTAAATCGCACAGTGGTGGACCGCCAATCATCCAGATGGTGTGGATGGTATCGGGAGTTCTGCCGCGATGTGCGTTCGTGAAATTTGGCGGCTGGGATTAATCCGAACAATTCCTCAGAGCACTCCCCATGGTAGATGCGAAAGAAAATGCAAAGGGATGCAACATCTCTTCGCAGTGCCAATGAATCGAGCCGATCGGAAAGGGCTCGGTCGTCGACAATTCGAGCCGCTCTGCGTTGGATGCGGTCAAGTGGAAGGAGCTGGCACTGGGGAGCCCCTGCCCAGAGATGGGAACAGTATTCCATGTGAGGCCGAACTTGCGCCTTGTAAAGTAGCAGGCGGTGTGCCGGCATGAAATACTGTCCCGCTCTGCTGAGCACGCCAAGCTTTTTAGAGGCCAATTTGGCCTTCCCTTCCAAGTGACCACGAAACTGCACGCCACTCGATATGTCGACTCCGAGGATACCGATACTGGCTGAGGCAAGAAGGGGAGTGCCTTGAAACTGAGGAGATACGACAAAGGGGTTCTTTTTAGCGGTAAACGCGCAAACTTGTGTCTTCTGAGGATTAAATTGGACTAGATTTAGTCGCCCCCAATCCGAGACTTTGTTCAGCAAAGACTCGACTTCAGACACAAGTTTGTTCCGGTACTCAGCGACGTTTTCCCGAGAAATATTGGCACGGTCGGTGTATAGAGCATCACCAGTGCTGTCATCCGCATAGCAATGAATGTTACCAGTTAGCAACATATCATTGATATGCAGAAGAAACAGCGTTGGTGATAGCACACAGCCTTGTGGAACACCAGCGTTAATAGGCTTGTAGTCAGAGCATGCACCGTCTACAAAGACCTTGATGCTCCGATCTGCAAGGAAGCTGGTGATCCAATTGCACAATTTCTCGGGAAGCCCATAGGAAGGGAGCTTCGAAAGAAGCGCTTGGTGCCAAACCCGATCGAAGGCCTTCGCAATGTCCAGACTAACGGCCAACGCCTCCCCCTTGGACTCTACTGCCTCCGCCCATCTATGGGTCAGGTAGACCAGAAGATCACCAGCTGATCGACCCCGACGAAAACCGTATTGGCGGTCACTAATCAGCTGGTGATCCTCAAGGTACCGGATGAGCTGGCAGTTAATAATGGATTCCATTATTTTGGAGAACAAGGAGGTGATCGCGATAGGCCTATAGTTGGATGGGTCTGAGCGGTCGCCTTTTTTAGGGATCGGGTGGACAAAAGCTGTCTTCCATGAATTCGGGACTACGCCTTGGGAGTAGGAGTACCGGAAAAGACGCGTTAGGACCGGTGCCAACTCCGGAGCACACGTCCTCAGCACAATTGGGGGGATTCCGTCAGGCCCACTCGACTTCTGGATGTCCAGGGAGAGCAGTGCTTTGCGAACCGAGCGCTGTGAGAACAGCACATCCGGCATGGAGCACTCACACCGCGGGATGGTCGGCGGTGTTTTCCCCCCGTCATCAAGAGTCGAGTTGGACGCAAAAAGGGAGCCTAAAAGGTCGGCTTTGTCTTTTGCGTCATGGGCCAGTGAGTCATCCTCCCTGTGCAGAGACGGTAGTGATGGCTTACAGAAATTCCCTTGGACAGCCTTGGCGAGAGACCAGAATGCACGGGTTCCCGAAGGAAGGCGAACTAGTTTCTCGCCAATTCTGCCTATGTGCTCTGACTTTGCCTTGGCAATAACTCTTTTGAAGGACCTGGAGGCGAAGTTATACTTCTTTTTAAGTGTGCTGGTATTTACATCCCGAGTCGCCGAAGCCGCAGCCCAGGCTTGATAACACTCCTGCTTACTGCGTAATGCAGTCTTACAGGAGCGACCAAACCAAGGCTGAGATCTGCCTCCGATGGGTACCACAGATGATGGAATAAATAGTTCCATTCCCTGTAGCACCACATCAGTGACAGAGTCAGCAACAGCGCTGGGATCATCCGGCGAGAAGCAAACCCGCCCCCATGGGTAGGATGCAAAGAAGGACCGCATTCCATCCCAATCCGCCGACCTGTAATGCCAAACACGGCGGCAACCTGCAGAACGCAACCGCGAAGGGAGCGTGAGTGGCACCACACTCCGGATCAGACAATGGTCCGAAGAGCCGAGATCGACGGAAACCTGATATCCGTCCGGATGAGAGGTCAGCAGAAGGTCCAACAGGGAAGGTGTATGATGACGTTAGCGGCAAGCAGAAATATACCTTATGCACGCGTACTAGGAGTTAAGGACACTTTGCCTACCGCACGACCTTCGTATGGCGGCTGCGTCATCGAGCTAACGCACTGGGGTTGTACAAAGATGATAAAATAAATAAAAGACAAACGAAATAATTATTTTATTTGTATATGTTTGAGTTTTATAAAATAATAAATAGCTTTTGTCCTTCTCTAAATTCTTTGTTATCAAACTTAACCCCGCTAATACTTGTACTATACCAGGTCGCACGTAGTTAATTGCTTAAAACTTTTAATTTTTAGTTTAGAAGTGTGTTGCGATGTGACTCCCATAAGTTAAAAATATCATTTTCTATCAGTTAAAATAAAAATAATATTAACACCCCATAAGATATTTTCATTCATGATGAGTATATTACGATTGTTATACTGACCATTTTAATAAATGGATCAGATATTGTGATAATTTTATTCAGTATGGTTAATTTTATTAATTAATAAATGTGTTATCTATTTTTAACTGTTTATTTCAATGGTTAAAAATTAAATTACCCACTTCATTGCTTGCGACACCCCTATGATACTTGTACTCAAGGGAGTACGCTAGCCGGTAGGTATATAACGGGAGACCTTGAGCGAGTGACGCATTTATATTGACACTTAAAAATGAGATTAACAGTAGGAAGCCGTTTTCACTACCTGCGTGAACTATAATCCATTGTTTTTGCATTCGAGTCTGAGGATATTGGGTCAGTGAATCAAAACCAAATACTGTTAGAATTATTTTATCGCCACAACAGAGGATAAAACACCTTCTTCTGTTTCGCTTTGTCAACATTTTCCAGCAAAATGCGTTGAGTGAACACATCGCGTTTGATAAACAAGGTGCTTAGTGAAGAAAGGAACAAAAGGCACAATTAGAACATTAAGATTTAATGACTTTCTTTTCTGCCTCAGATGACTTCTAAGTTTTAATAAAATTTGACGCAATATTATGGATGTAACTTAAATATAACATAAGGCTTTATTCTATTATTTTAAGCTTTTTATAAAACGAGCCTTTGAATTTACACAGGTCCTATCTGTTTTATATTTCAAGTATGCATAGAAAAAAATAACATAAATTCAACAAAGTTCTGTCTCAAGATAGAGCCTTCTTGTTTTGAAATACGTAGATAAGTAAGTAATTATAGGGCAGTATTGTAATGAAAAATATGGGTGAATAAAATACAATATATGATTACACTACAAATTTTAAATGAACTTAAAATTATATTTTTTTGTAAAAAAAAAAAGAAGTTATTATTAAATGTTTTAGACAATTAAGTGTGATAAACAGTTTTAAATAGAGCTTCAAAGTACTTAAGATTAATCTTGAGAATCCATTACGTTATGGCTTGAATTTGAAGGGTTGGATTCAATTAAATCATGTACAATTAATTAATTAACGTATTGTATCTTCTGGTGCTCTTTTTAGGGTGTTTGATAAGATCCTGTCATTCAGTCATAAATATAATGACTTGTCTTATAAAATATTGATATGTAGCACAATAAATTTCAGAGAGTAGAGTTTGTAAATTTGCATATTCAAGTTTTTTCAAGGAGCAACTTGCGTAGCCAAGGACAAAGAGTTTGATAATAATTATACCAAAAGGATTTTTAGTTAGTTTAGTAGTTGAGATTATTTAACAACTTCATAATTAAGTGATACCGGGGAGCAGAATTTTGCAGTTGTTAATGCCATATCTATGCAGAAGTGGGGTAGAATGGATCAGTACAATTATAATGCTTGTATATTATTAGTAGTAGTAGGCAACTATTTATTAACCATATAGAATTCATGTAGGTGCTTTGCGCCGTAAAAAATCGTCAAGTTTTTTTTTCTCATGAACGTTTTTGCCCGGAGTTGATATTTTAGTTGATGCGCTAGCAGACACTTAACCTTCGTTACTTATCTTTCAAATAGTATTTTAGGTATTTCTGAAAATACTTTTAAAAACCTTTCTTAATTAAATGTATTAGAAATTACGTCTTTGTATGTTATTTTTGGGAGCTTGAACTTTCGAGACTATTTTACTAACCTGACATCGGCGACCCAAGCCAAATGCACTCTATAATGGTTATTATTCATCTAAAACGTTCAATTTTAATAAATGTTTTTTTTCTTTAATGAATTTCAGCAACAATAAGAAAATTTGAAATATGTTTCAATAATAATTGTTGGTTAAGACACTCATTGTCTATAATATTATATTACATGAGTATAATATAGTACTACATACAATACAAAAAAATTAGGCCATCTACCACAGAATAAATAATAGTACCATCTACGTAATAACTTTCAAAAGCTAAATAATGTTTCTACCATAGACAAGGAGTAATCATGTGAGTTTCAATTATAGTGTGAGTGTTTTTTGACACCAGCTGACAGGTAGTTTGGTAGTGGTCGATATTTTACCTTAGATTGTTCGTAATTTTTAATAAATAAACGAACAAAATGGCCTGTAAGTTCTGTGGCCCGAAACTATCGCTTTGTGGATTAATTTTAAGTGTGTGGGGAATAATCCAGTTGGTAAGTTGACTGTGTGATTTTTCTATAATGCTAATCTCGAAACACATTACGAACTAAAAATTTAATTTCAGACATTGATGGGCGTCTTCTACTATATAGAAGCTGTAGCTCTTTTAGAAGATTTACCCCTCGAGGAGGAAGGCGGCCACCATACAATCGAAGGATTTATTCATAAAGTTGAAGTAGGGTATAGTCAGGTGAGTGCAAAAGATACTAATTACTCTAAAATAGTACCTATCTCAAGGTTTTAACATTAAAACGCAAAGGTAACAGTTTTTAGCAGTTTCAATAATGCATTAATGTAGTTTGAAATACTGAATAAAAATAAGTACATAAAATATTCAAAATTGCTATTGTGCTATAAACTATTTAAAGTTCTTAATTTTGATATCAATTATAAGTTTTTTTTACACAAATAGCTATCTTAAATTTTACTTTACTATAGTTACTAGGTGTTAGGTCTCCTATTTAGCCGACTTCAAAAAAAAGAGGGGTTTCAATTCAATTGTATGTTCTTTTTTTGTATGTACATTTGAGCAGCGGTGCTCAGAGGCAACAATGCATGTTTAGCCTTTTATGTTTAATGTTGATTGTAGATGTTCATGGGCTACGGTAGTCACTTACAAATAAAGAGTTTTTCAGATCTATCATTCCTGTTGACTGCCTAATAGGTCACGTCTAAATTTTTTAATGAGACTCAAAGAATCATAATAATTTTTTGAAAGTTCTGTAACCTTTTATTGTGTATATCAACAATAATAATTATCTTTCATGGATATGTTTGCCTTGAGCTCTGTTAATACACCTTGACATTCTGTAAAAAGATATTTAGTTTCACATTTTACAATACTAGTTTTAATATATTTTTTTAATACTTTTAAATGTTTTCATTGCCAAGTTACATTTATCATGACTGGCTTAGGGTTCTATTAATCTATGATAAATGTATTATGGATTGGTAATGGTGTTGCTGGCAAGAACCATGTTTCAGCATGGTTTTTTATTTAAAAAATTATTAAATAAAGAGTGTATGACCTAATCAGTCAGTCTTCCTAGTTATTATTCTTTAGATCATTAATTTTAAATCCGATTGTTTTTTTATGGCCTAATTGTTATGTGATTGGCCCCATGTCTCCAATAGTTTTCCTCTCATTAGCTTACATTGGGATATCAAATTATATATTACAATAGATAGACACTAAAAGTTTAAAATTAGTGAGTGCCTCCACTTTTGCGCATATATAGTATGAATTCTAGTACAACACTATATTGCAGTCGGGGCCAAATAAATCGAATCTCTTTAAAATGATAGTAGATTAACTTATTGTTTTGAATAACTTAATTATTGATGGTTGGGTTATGCCCTATAATTTATGGCCAATTCTAGTTGTCTGCTAATTGAACAACTAAACTATTTTATTTGTCCGCTTATGGATAACATAGGCCTAAGTGCCACCCCAGCCACACCTCAACCTATTGTTACTGATATTGCAAGATTGGTGTAATCTTTTATTAAACACAGCCTAAATCATATGAGTAAGTATCAGAGTATATTTTTATTCAAATATCTTATTTATTTTATAAATTTAAAATGTGTGATGAAATAAATCACATGATAATCATATAAAAAAAATATTGTTCTATTTCCGTATGTATAGATAACTCCATAAGATTGACAGATAAATAAATATTAATTATTTATCCAATTAGCAGATGACTAGACACCGATAATTTATTATATTCACAAATTGTTTGGGCCTTTGTCTGTTTTTGGTTGATCATTTATACTGTAAAATGGAAACAACACCAACAGATGCAGCCCAAATTGTAACTTGCATTGAAAGCTTGGGCACAGACTACATGAAGTGGCTTGCACACTCCATTTGAGTCTTTCATTTGTTCAACAGGTATATCTGTCTAGTATGCATCAAGGCATAACTAGACAATACTGGTTATTAAGAATGAATTGATTGACGCCAAAGAAGATATAAAATAAAAAAGTTTTTCTTTGGCATTTGAACAATTATTTCAATTCTGTACGAAAGGAATTGTTTGAATTTTTACAGATTAATTAATGAAAAAGTTTTTATCACGTTAAAGGTTAATCAATCAGCAGTATTCCAACTTAGATACTTATGTAGGAACATCAGCCAATAGGCTGCTAGCCTATGAAAACATAAAAATAATAATAAAAATTGGCATTCACGGTTAATTTCTTTCCCTTTCCCCAGCCCTTGGCCGTTTAGTCTCCTCTGTTGAGGGCTTTCATGTGACTTGGTTTTTATCTATTTATTTAAATATATTTTATTGCATTTATTCTATTGTTATTATGTTTATACAGAGTTATTTTTCAAAGAGTAGCCAAATTTTAAACTTAAGTTCAAATGTATAAATGATGATATACGGTTTTTGCAGTTTTTGAAAATACAAGTAAATAAGGCTCCTACTTTTATTTCAAATTATCCCAAATTGAATGTGATTTATGGGCAACAACGTTTTGCCTACCAATCGACCCTTACGAATGTGTACGTGTGCAGTAATATCAGTTAAAATTATGCAATAACCAAGCATTATAAATTCAAAAGATAAAAAGGACACAATGTTAGACATTTTTTTAAATTAATTTTTCTTCACCATTTGCTTGCCGAGGCCTGCCACGGTACTTATTCTGAACCTTTTCTGCAAATTTGGCCAGTTATTGCAAAATAACTATGTATATTTTTAAGCAGCCCAATGAAAAGGGAAATCAATAGAAATATCATAATAGGAATAGATAACTTACCAAATAGTGTCAATAAGAAAATAATAAATTCTAAAATCATAAAAAAAAAACGGTTACACTTGATTTATTTGGCCCTAAGTTTATATAATATGTCAATATTTACTATCATTACCGATGTTTATTTCTGTGATTCTGATTATTCGAAAGTTAACACGTAGTAGAGCCATGCTGCAGCTATATTAGTAGTATAGTTGTAGCACGAATGGGTCGGCTCGACAGGGGAAGGACCACGCTCTCACAGAATACCAGCGTAAAATAGCAGCTTAATGCTGCTGTGTTTCGTATGGTGAGTGTAGAGAACCGGATACCCTTTTTACTGAAAAAGAGGCATTCCATCTTAGTCCTCACAAGTGACAACGCATCTGCATTTTGATTCACAAACAAGGATAAATGTAGATGTCTATGGGCCACAGCAACCACTTACCATCAGGTGGACTGTGTGCTCGTTTGTCACCCTATCCTATAAAAAAAAAAAGTTATCACTGGATGAAAATCTGCCAGGAATATTTATAATTAAACAGTATGTTTATGTAATTTTGATTTAGCTCCAAAGAGAAAATGTAAAAATATTCAAATCATTATATATTTTTTTTTCAGAATGCTTACAACTGCTGGATTGCTGCCCTCCTGTATGTCATCACACTAGTTATTTCTGGTCATCAGTTCTGGATGAATAATCGCTCTTCAGTTAGCATGTAATAAGTAGCAATGGTACTAAATTGTGGGTACTCATGTTACTAATTATTTGTTCCATTCCATTTATTATGATAAAACTTGACTTTGAATTGTTATCAAAGAAATGTTGGATTACTGGACAATTTTAAATAAGAATACTGTTTCCCAATTCGCTGTTTTACTATCATTAATGCTTATTACCAAAATATATTATGGTGTTCAGAATTAATATAAAACTGTAAAAACAACTGTAAAGTATTGCAAATACAAATTCTAACCAATAGTATTTAATATTTATTACTATCTATGCAATAGCTGCGCCACCCGCTACTAGCTGCGTCGTGGCTTTTACATGCTCGTAAAACGATATGAATTTGCTATTATGTAAGAATTATATGGGTTATTAAATGACGCGATAAATTGTAAATCATGTCTGTCACTTAATGTTGCAAATACAAATTTTAAAGAAATAGTACGGAATTTAATACTATGTACACAGATGCAATATGAAATTGATTAAGAAAAAAATATTATCGTTATTAATTGACATAAGGAAAATTGAGAACATTTGTAATGTAATGCTGAGTATCACCTTAAAACATAGATGATTGCTATGTATTGTACATAATATTAATAATTATTGTAGGTGCATTGTAAAATGAGTATATAGTTTTTTCTTGAAGTAAAGTTATTAATGTTATTTTTTCATTTTATTTTGAAGCATTTTACTATTACAGAGTTTATGGGGGCCACTCACAGTCAGTTAAACTGATCAGTTTAACTGACGTACATCCAAAAACTGACCGTGAATGTAAAAGCTTAAGTTGAAATTTTTAACTGAAGACAACACACGGATTTTATCGAGCGTGCTGTCAGTTAAACCGCTCAGTTGAACTGACGTACATCCAAAAACTGATCGTGAATGTGAAATCTTAAGTTGAAATTTTTAACTGACGGCAACCCACGTATTTTTCCGGGCGCACCGTAATCCGCTGGCTTCAGTTCGTTTCCATTATTGGTAAGTACATACTTTCTTAGTATGTAGCTTTTATTTATATTTTATATTTTTTTATAACATTATTTGTATGCTGTTTAGATTATATATTATTTTATATATTTAGAGAAGTTGGTTTGACAGAGGATGGAGACCAAGGTGATTGATGACGATGGAGATGAAGGTTGTAATGATGTCACCTTCCTTATGGTGGACTCAGAAGGTGGGTAAAGGGTCTCAGTGATGCTACTACGTAGAACCATCGTGTTTGAACTCATTTTGAAATAGGTAAATGGAGACCTAGATGACTATTATGGTATCACCTTTATGTTGGTGCAATCCGAAGGTGAGTATAGGATCTCAGTGATGACACTAGATAGAAGGATCGTGTTTGAACTCATTTGAAAGGGTTCATAAAGACCTAGGTGACTGTTATGACCTCACCTTCTGATGGTGTAATCCGAAGGTGGTTAATAGATCTCAGTGGCGGTACTAGATAGAACGGTCGTGTTAGAACTCATGTGAAAGGGCTCATAAAGACTTAGGTGACTGTTGTGATCTCACCTTTCTGATGGTGCAATCTGAAGGTGGGTATAGGATCTCAGTGGCGGCACTAGATAGAACGATCGTGTTTGAACTTATTTGAAAGGGCTCATAAAGGCCTAGGTGACTGTTATGACCTCACCATGCTGATGGTGCAATCCGAAGGTGGATATAGTATCTCAGTGGCGGCACCAGATTGAACGATCGTGTTTGAACTCATTTAAAAGGGCTCAAAGACCTAGGTGACTGTTTTGACCTCACCTTTCTGATGGTGCAATCCGAAGGTGGATATAGGATCTCAGTGGCGGCACTAGGTAGAACGATCGTGTTTGAACTCATTTGAAAGGGTTTATAAAGACCTAGTTCAATGTGATTATATTACCTTCATGATAGTGGACTAAGAAGGTGTGGTAAAATATCTCAGTTATGCCACTACGAAACACCATCGTGTTTGGGCTCATTTCAAAGGGCTCAAGAAGTACCTACCTACCTACACAAATAATATAAATATAATAAATAGTACAAACAGTATTATTACTCACTTTATAATGTTTTCAGGCGATTAAAAAAGCAGCAAAACCAAGTAGGTACAAAATTAGAAATTGACCATATATTAGACAGGCTATAAAAAAACAAGGCAGAACGGAAAAAGCATAACCAACTTTAACCAGAACACGAAAATATCTGTGTACTTCAAGAAAACCTACAAGCACCATTAACACCAATTCCTATAAATGATCAAGTTACCTGTACTCAGTATTCAGAATTCAAAATGATTTTTGACTGATTTATTATACGAATACTACACATTTAATAAAATAAACTTTTCGGATTTTATTTTGTTTAACTTGTTTTCATTCGTGACGTTTGGGTGCTTCAACTTTATTTTAGTATGTAACACGTCGAGAGCTCAATTAGATAAACTTAGAAAGCTAGGCCATCCTAACTATTTCCGTTACTGAAAACCGATAAGCATTATCTGGCCATCATAAGACCTTCAGAATGTGCCCATGCCCACAGACCTTTTTGAGCTCACCGTAACCAGAGTGTTAGTATCAGTGGGGTGTCGCCCGCTCTACAGATAGGTAATTTAATAAATAGATAAAAATAAATAACACATTTATTAAATAAATAACATTTACCATAATGAATAAAATTATCATAATATCTGACCCATGACTAGATAGAACGATCGTGTTTGAACTCATTTGAAAGGGCTCATAAAGACCTCGGTGACTGTTATGACCTCACCTTTCTGATGGTGCAATCCGAAGGTGGACGGCACTAAGTAGAATGATCGTGCTTGAACTCATTTGAAAGGGTTTATAAAGACCTATAACCTGTCGGAAATATCTGCGAACCTCGCTGGAATGCGCTTCCCCTCGCGCTTCCCCGCACCTCCGCCCGTTATCGTCTATCCAGTACCGTTGCCATCTCTCCATATTGCATGACGTCATCAAGCCAGGTTCGCAGATATTTCCGCCCGTTATCGTCTATCCAGTACCGTTGCCATCTCTCCATATTGAATGACGTCATCAAGCCAGGTTCGCAGATATTTCCGACAGGTTATAGTTCAATGTGATATAATACCTTCATGATGTTGACCTAAGAAGGTGGGGTAAAAGATAAAAATAAATAATACATTTATTAAATAAATAAAATTTACTATAATGAAAAAATTATCATAATATCTGACCCATTTCTTAAAAGTGTCTTAACACTGACCTTATCATGAATAAAAATATCTTTTGAAGTGTTAATATATAGGAAACGATATTTATATATATAGTATACGGAACGGATTTCATTTCTCGATCGACGGGGCCGCTGCCGTGCGCGTTTAGTTGGCGTGGCTCCTATAAATTAAAAATGTCATTTCCTATCTATTAACTAGTTGTTCCCCGCAACTTCGCCCGCGTGTAATTTATTACGATTGGATTTCATGGGTTATGATGTTTTTGCGCAGAACCCTAATTCTTTTTCTAAATTAAAAGTAGCCTAATTTCCTCCTTATAATATCAGCTATCTGCCACTGAAAGTCTCGTCAAAATTGGTTTAGCCGATTCGGAGATTAGCCGGAACAAACAGAAAGACAGACAAAAATTTTAAATATTTTGTTGTTGTTATAAGTACCGTATGTGCTCTCAAATGTATTTAGTAAAAACTGTTATTTTGACATTACAAACAGACACTTCAATTTTATTTATTTGTATAGATATATATTAATAGACAGGAAATGCTATTAAATAAGATTTAGATATTATTAAATATCATTTAATAGTAGTGTAGTTGTACCACTTCTAGACCACCTGAGTCAGACGTGGTTCAACGACGTTCGTCGACGCCCGATCCTAAAAAAAGTTTTGGCATGCTCTGATCACGAATCCGCGGTCCATTTTTGTGTAGAATGCACGGTTCCGGAGATGTGTAGATCAATTAGCTAATATCTAATTGATATCCGGTAAGGGCCTCCACCGTCATTAGCGTCCCATTGTTCCTATTTATATTGTTCTATTGTTCCTTAATCACCTTCATTGCAGCGTGTGCGTCGACTATATCAGTGCTATTGTGTTATAGTTCTTTGTTTATACAACACTAATCTGAATCATCAATAAAACACATTACATAATTTTGTTACAATTTTTATTTATAAAATACAAAATCTTATTAATTATTATCTATAAAATAGGAGCGAAACATCTCATCCACTAAAATATCGTTGTACAATGTGTTCCTTGTAAATATACTCGTAAAACTATGTATTGAATATCCTTGAAATTTATATAGCAAATACATTAAGCAATATTCGCCACAAACTGAAGTCCACTCATTCTGAATCCTATCAACATTCCAGTTCCATCTTTTACAATTCCTTTTTAAAAACTCTAGATGATATCGTACAGGTGATCGTCCATATGAATCAAAATATTGACCGACGTCATTCGTATCGATATATAAAGCTACCCAATGTGACCCTGGTTTATCATCTGTATCCAAATTACATATTATATACGTTGGTACGTGGGTATACATAGGCAGTCTATTAGCTGCATAAACATTATTTTCTAGACTGGGGTGAATCTTTTTCAGATGTTGTTGTACATCTAGTGTATCCATGATATTACTGCTATTAGTAGATTATTACAGTACCTAGCTACTCAATGAATAACATAGGAATGGTCAATTATAGTGATTTCTACATATTAAATTGCATTTTTGTGTTATACAAATCGTACTTGAGTCATTGATCACCAAACAAAACACAATACGAAGAAATGTTGAGATAGGCAACGGAAATGTGAGATAAACTGATATGTTTCTAAATATTAAATTGCATTTTTGTGTTATACAAATCGTACTTGAGTCATTGATCACCAAACAAAACACAATACGAAGAAATGTTGAGATACGCAACGGAAATGTGAGATAAACTGGTTGACGCATAAAGTAATTATCAACTCATTACGGAAATACTTTAGATTAGAAT